CTAATATAAATTTCGAATTCTTTACTTCTATCTTATATATTCATATTCTACCCCGAATTTTTCATTTAGGGAATCGTGACATTCTCTCTTTCTATAATAATAATTTTTAAAACAAAAATTTCTTTTACAAAGAAATGTATTAATAAAAATCCATAAATTTTTTTCATAACCCTGTAGAAGGTTAAAAATATTGTCGAAAATACTGGAAATGGTGGATCAAAGCTGTTCAACGTCAGATTAATATCACCGTCATATCCGGAAAGGCGAAAAACCGTGCCATTGATCGTTCCGTCTCTATTACACAAAGCACCCCGTGCAGAAACTTAATTCTTCGCGGAAATGGACCTCGGACACCGACAAACGCGGTGCAAGCCCGTGTGCAACGCGTACTCGCGCGCGCAAAGGCAGCCGAAGTTGCGAGCGGAATATTTCGAGCGTTAACGCGAAAGTAATAATCGACAGGCAGGGTGGACGGAACGGAAGAGGAACACAGAGGCCACCCCCGGCCCGATTTCAATCAAATATCTGGAAACTTGGTTTGGCCCGGCGATGGAACGCGGACAGCGAACTGGCACGAGTCGTCGTCTCGTAGAATAAATTCGTTCGCCTTTGGTGAATCGGAGCGTGTTCCAGGCCGGAATCCACGGAAAGTCGTAAACGACTGCGATCGTGGAGGATCGTGGCGGTCAGTGACACCGGTATCCGGGACGTTTCGCCCCGATATTGTGCTCGCGGAAGCACGAGAGTCCAGCTGGGGCCACGTTCCGCGACGAAGCGACCCTCTGTTCGCCTTTGGGAGTTCGGTATCGGGTACTAAAAGTAAAATTCCTGCAGTCTTCTTGCTACCTTCCGTGGGCGCAGGCACACGCCTGTCGGGGTGGGCGGAAGGGTTGGAACGTGGTTATAAGAATCGGCTGGCGGGACGCTCGATGGGCGTTCGATTTTTCACCAACTTACTCGTCGTCGGCTTCGTTTCTCCGTTTCTCCGTTTCTCCGTTTCTCTGCATTTTCCCGTTATTCGTCGGCGGCTCGCGAATTCTGAATTCCGTTTGAAATAGTTTTGTTGTATCCACGCAAACTACCACGACCGACGGAATAGCCGGTAAATGGATAAATGAAAGAGCAAGAGCTTCGCAGGGAACGGAATAGATCAAGATATTTAGAAACCGAGCGGGATAAATGCTAACACCGATTGCGGAATTTTTAATTAAAAATTTGGGTTAGGTTTAGCGTTAACCTTATACATTTAATTTATTTAAATTGTGACTATCATAAGTGAAAAGAAGATTAGAATCACGTTGAAAACTATTCGTCATAGAATTCCTCAATAATGAAGAAAAAGAAATTGTTAATAGCTGTTTATTCTATTTTATAATCACTGTTTTGAGATCATCGTAACGTTAACTTAAAAACAAAATTCGTCCCTGAAATGGTTAATAATTCGTCGACTATGGTGGGTCGATTTTGAATTATCCTATCATGGATAGATTCCAATTTTATTATTTACCAAATGCCAGTTTATTAATGTTATGAATTTTCATAAGATGCTATTTGAGATTTGTATTTGTGCAGTTCGAATGAAGATCTGTTAAAATAGACATGTACATGTACATGAACGCGAGGAAAATTGTAGTAGTCGAAGATAAGCGAGGTGTACTAGCTTTCAACGGTAAATTGTTCCTTGCCCCAATATTCTAATACTGGAAAGCTTAATTGGTAACAGGATATAGACTAGATTAATATCGTACAACTTACCGTAAGCGATACAGAGCCCATCGCTTATATTTGGTATTATATTTTTGCGTAATTTGCGTAATTTGCGTAATGAAGTTCGGCAGAATTTTCATAATTGGCAGAATGTTGCGCAACGAGCGTAATGAATTTGTAACGAAAGAAAACCGCGTAAAGCTGGACTCTGTTCGAACAAATTATTACGTCGGTGGGTAGAACCAAATTTCAAGCATACGTAGGTTTTTCGAAACATACGCATAGTTTAAACAATTTTTATACTCATTGTATAACCCCGTGTACTTTTCCAACGATTCCTCGACTTCGTTATTCCTCCGTTCATAAAAATACGACGGAATAAAATGAATCATACGACACTGATTCTCTTTATTTCGAAACAGACGTATTATCAAACGAATATTCCAAAAAATTGCAAATTAAAATCCCCGTTCGATTTTCCACGGTTTTCGAATAACTTCACGCCACAAATTAATTCACTCCAATTCACTCGTGTTATAATCAACCCTCGCAGAGTAGAATTCTCGTAGTTACCCCAATATTGCCTCAATATTACCTCAACATAATTCCAATATTGGAAATTTTCAATCGAAACAAAGCATTCGCGGAATGTCGTCGGATAAAACGGGGAGTACAGCTGTTAGAGCAATTAAACGACCTTTGGAAAGTAGGATTTTCAGAGCCGATGGCTCTGAAAGCCGATGGTTGGGGTTCGTTTATCGAGGGTTGTTTACTATGACACGAGAAGGCGTTTCGGGCGGAAGTTGAAGACGGATGGCAGCGTTTTGGCCGAGGCTGCTTCTTTTGATGCTCGACAAACTCGGAGAGCCTGAATCTTATTAGGTCGAGTCATGAGTAATTTCTGATTGGCACCGGTGACGGCTGTTTGCCAGTCGACTTTCGCGCGACGCTCGCTCCGAAGCGTCGCGACGCAAATTGACGTTTCAAAGCGCACCTAGTATATAACGACTACCGGTATTTAACGATTCCCTGTTTGCACCCCTTGGCAAGCTTGTAAATTAGTCGCACGTTTTCGTAGAATTTTCGACCTCGTTATCGATCATTCTCCCTTCCCTTTCTTCCTTTTTCTTTATTTTTCTTCCGTATATGAGCCGATCACTGCACAAATTGATTAACTCCATGAAACAAAAAGTGGAGGAATGCAATGAAATAATGTATATTGTTTTTTAAAATTCCCTTTATAATTTAAATCGAAATAAATATCGTAGAACTTTCATTTAACGGTATATAAAATTTATAAGAAAAAATAGCCAAAAGGTAATCGTTAGTAATGTTACAATTTTTATTTTACTGGGAGAGTTAATCGATTTGGCAAGTGAAGAAAGTAATAAATTTAAATTTTACTAAATTTTACTTAAATTCTGATAAGACGGCACTAAAAAATTCACCATTATCATTCATGGCTTGCTAGTGCATTTGAGTTGCATTATTGCAACGATTTACATTAGAGTACGGAGTTAATCAAAGTGACCTCTGAAATAAATTATTTATTATTCAGTGGCCAACAAATTTTTCTCGTTTAATGGTGTTAATCTTAATTATCAGGGAAAGTTATTATAAATATAAAAAGTTATGACTATACCAAGTGCTTTGATACTTAAATTTAAGATTTTTCAAAAAGTGGAGTTAATCGATTTGTGTAATGAACGGCTCATATATCTGTTTCAATCTGTGTTCGCGAAATTTTAGGAAGCTTCGAATTTCTTGGGTGTCGAGGAATTCTAATGGTTACGGTTATTATAGGTTCACTGATTGAAACGCATTAGGGTATTTTGGAAATCTCGTTTTCCATTCTTTTTGTAGGTTTCTCTACGTGCGTGGTCGCGTACAGTGATTCACGGAAATATTCGAATACTATGCATATTTCAAGCGAGTACTCTACTCGATTTCAATTATTTTTATTCGTAGATATTTATTCAGAGTTATAATCCAGTCTCTGTCTTTTTAAACAACTTTTAATTCTATAACGACGCGAGACGGAGGAAAACACAGTCAAACAAGAAATATTTAATTCCCAGTGCTCTGTCACGCTACAATAAAAATTTCTGCCCCAATTTCCCATTTAGAAAGCAGAAAAATTATCCAGATTTTAATCCTCGATTTTACAATCAGAATTTTTGGCCTACAAAAAGAATTCACTTAAAATTTATCCTTCAGATCAATAAAACAAATTAAATTAATATTGCCGATATATTTTTGTCAACCCTTAAAAGAATTCTACTGACACGTATGCGCGATAGGAAATTTTGGGAAGGTAAAAAATATGGAAAAATTCTCAAATTGTTATGGGAATAGATGGTAAGTCAGAAAAGAGAAATCCGCGAGTAAGACAAAGCACTGGAGAAGACGAAAGCGAAATCGTATCGAATTGTTTCGCAGACATTTCTCCGTGCAAACGTGACACGGTGTGGTCGCAGTGGAGAACGGAGCACTTCCGGTAGTTCCGTCGGTATAATTGGCGCGAAGATAAAGGCGTGGACACGCGATGCAACAAGAGAAGAAACGTAATCGCGGCGTCCCTTCGCGGACGCTAATAAACGAAACGTCTGCAATTCCCGTGTAACGTTATCGCGTGCAATAAACGCGATAATTCGCTTGCACCCTCGCGACCAATTATCGGTTCCCGCGAAACTGATTATGTTCGGTAATTCGACTTACTCGGCATTATTCGACGCAGGGGCCGAGCGTGTAGCCTCTGGAAAGCACCAGGAATTATCCCGAATTTTCTTGATTTTTATTTTAATCAATTTTTTAATCTTTTTCCTATTCCAATTCTTCTTATTTCTTTATTATTGCTTCAATCGTTTACAAATTTGTCCCATTAACAGTAACTCTATCGTGGTAGATTATTGGTGATCATTTCTTAAATTCTCGTCGTCTTAGTCACTCTTTGTGATTTTTCTTTCAATACACGCGTAATCGATCTTTAATGTCCACCATTTTTCCATTTTTCTTAAAATTCTACTGTTTACTCATTCACCGGTATGGTCGTTCGACCAATGGTGGGTTTATTACTTATTATACTACTTATTATAATTCACTAATTTCTGTCACGATCAGAGGAGGTCAATGATTTGTGTATTATATGTGATTATTTTATCGAATAATATTTTTATTACTTAATGTTATTCGATTTCGAATATCGAGTTTATTAATTTATAATTTGTTTCTTTTTCTTCTGTTACAGGTGAGTGTTGCAGAGAAGTTATAAAGCTTGGTGACTGATGAAGTAATGCTGGAAAAAATTGTAAGTTCTTTTTCGATTACGTCGTTTCATTTTACGATACAAATCCGTGGATTCAAAAATTGCCCAGTAACAAGATTTCCTTTTCGCATAAATTACGCGAAAATCTTGTTACTTGCTTCAATCCGGTAATAATTAAATCGCTGGCAGAAGGATGGATAATTGCAGAGGAAAAAAGGAATTACCGCGATTAGTTGTTGATAAATCGTTTCTCAGCAAGGAAGAAGAATTTCGTATTCGAAAACTGTCGCCGAGTACGTGATTAATGATAGAATAATTAGGGATCGAGTTGGGAAATTTCCTGTAATTGGTTAGATTTTTTAGGGGTGGAAGTAGTTAAAGCAAGATGGTTGGTTAGAGGAACGCAAAGATTTTTGCCATTCTGCGAGCTTGTTTCTTTCCATTCTCGTTATCGGTTTTGGAAATATAAAGAGCCTAACCTACTTTCTGTGCAAATTACAAAAATAATTTCCTCGTATTTGTTATTTCAAAAATATTCCAATCTTTCAATTACATACTTCTAATTCCGATATCAAAACTTATATTCGAATTCAAATACCTAAATATTTCTTTTATGGGGATTCCCCAATGGGGGTTAGTTTTTCTTTGTCTCGTTGTTCCTGTGGCTTTCCTGGTGGGATCCCTAGTATCCGTCTTGCTATGTTATGTAGCAGGTAGGGGGTTGTAAGGAAGGGGTGTGTTTCATCTTGGGTTAGGATGCCAGTGGACTCGTCAGTAAGACTACTTAACAGGCCCTGCCTTAGATGGGGGATACTTAGGTAGGATAGGAACTTGTATTTACGGGAGTCGAGGATTCACTTGCGAGAAACCTCGAACATCCCGTTTTCATCTAGCAGTGAGGGTGTGAACCTTGCTCGCCACACTTTCCATTGTTTTTTAATTACATCTTGCTTCATTTCAACCATATAGAGGGTTTTACTGTTCGTTGCTTCTCTTTTAATTTATGGATGTTTATCGTTACGCAATCGTTTCGTGTTTTGCGTATCTTTTATCAGCATCCAAGACTCCAAATATCAGAATTTTTAAATCATCCTACTTAAAATTGAATGAAATTAAAGATCATATTCTTCCCTAAGTTCTTTGTTTTTTAATTACATCTTGCTTCATTTCAACCCCATAGAGGGTTTCTACTTAAAAGTACGATCTTCCATAGTTGCAATGGGGAGAATAATGTCGATATCCAGAACATTAAACGCTGCCTCGAATAGCGTTTCACTATGATATCAGCAAAATATGGTGAATCATAGGAGAATTTTCATGGCGCCTCTACTGTGCTCTGATATGTTCTGCTTGGCTCTGGGGAGGCCAGCAATAGAGGTCTCGGCTCGTAGTCAAATTCTATTATATTGCAGTGGCTATAGCAAGCCAATAGAATATTTCCTCCTTATTTATGTGTTCGTTGCTTCTCTTTTAATCTGTTGGTGTTTACTATTACGTAAACTTTTCTTGTTCTACGTATCTTTTATCAACATCCAAGACTCCATATATCAGAATTTTTAAATCGTCCTACTTAAAATTGAATGAAATTAAAGATCATATTCTTCTTCATCTTGCAGCAACCCTCAGACGAGCACCCTTAATTCCACAGCCTAATACGATCGAACGAAAAACAGCGATCTGTCACCGAAACCCCAGCGATAGCCGAGACCGTTGCATTAAACCCCGAAAGGGTCCATAATGTATCACGGCTGATCGTGCATCTTGGCAGCGAAGGGGTGACATATTTGCTTGGATTGGAGCGTCTGGAAGAAGGCGTCGGGAGATTTATGCACGGCTCGGGGTGTACGCGTAGGTGCACACACTCGTACATCAAGGTGTCCGGGGTGGATGCAGGGGTGACTGGGATAGAAAGTGTCTGGATTTCACGGAGCAACCCGGGTCGGCAATGAGACCTCGTCCCGTTTCTTGCACTCGGATGATCGATGAACCCTTGTTTACGTTCACGAACTTCATCCAGCTTCGATCCCCATTTTCCTCTCAGCCGCGTTCCATCGACTGAGTCACACATCGGGTACCAAACAGGCTAATACACCTAGTCGTTGTACGAATTACACGGGGTGGAAAGCGAGTTCCTTCCGGTTCGATCGTATTACATCCACGACTCTCGATTTCTTCCATTTTCACCGTCTTTCTCTCGCGTCCTCTCTCGTCCAGCGAGCTTCTACTCGCGCGTGTACACGCGTTACAGCTTCTCGCGAGCTGGGAATGCATAATTAATTCCTGCAGCTACGTCGTTGTTGCCGATTCGTTTTGCCGAGCGTGTTCCACCGGTGAGAATAATAAATCTGTCGGCGTGTTTCGTTCCGTTTGCGAGTATTCCTGCTATCTTGTCGTCGTTTTCTCGTTACACGTTTCTCTGCCGGTTTCTTTTTAAAGTATGTAGCGTTTGGTTCTCGAGGATGTTAAACGAACCGGTTGGAGATGTATCGCGAGGATATCGTGGAAGCATACGGGTTATGAGAAATGGGGTGAGTTGATGGTGGTGTATACCGTTAGGGCAAAGTAGAAATTTGGATACACAGGTGAGATTGTAATTTTAACAACGAAGTAGTTTCGGTAGTTGCGTAGAAGGAAATTGTACTAATTTTAGTTTCTAATTACCGATGTAACGAGCGGCATAGTCGAGGGTGCTTTTAAAAGTAACGGAACGCGCAGGTCTCGGCATGTAATCAAATTCCAATGAAAAATCTAAGCTCGAGAGGTCTCGAAGCTAATGAAAGGATTTAATAGTAAGAGGTAATAATCCTTTTTTAAAAAACCGCGTTGGGGAAACAAAAGGCTAAAGAGCCTGCACTTCAGGCGCGCAGAAATTAACCCCCACTAATGCCACGTTGCTTGGAAACCACGTACCTAGGTAGCTGTATCTCCTACGTGTTATTACACTACCCTTTTATTTTATCGCCTCTGTTATTTTATTAGAAATCGTCGAAATTAAATACTGCGACTGGTAGCAATTTTTCTTGCGAATACGGGAAAAATATTCGATTATATTAATTAAACGTGATATACGTGGATAATAATAATTAATATGATACTACGGGAACAAGTATAAATATCCTATTTGAAATTTATTTAGTAATATTCCATATTAAATTTGATGGAAATAAATTAAACCGGTTAATGAAATAAATTCAATTAAAATTAAAAGTATTAAATATTTCTTAAACGTGTTCAAAAGTACCAGTCAGAGATCATCGATTTTAATTTGTATCGTGCTTCTGTTATTAAAAAATCATACGTATCGAATAAATTCGCGCTTACCCCTTAAAAATTGGTTTCCAAGCCGTGTCGTTATCTTTTATCGGTCAGTCGATTTCGATTCCTTTCGAATTCTAATTATGTTCCCTCGGGATGATTTGTTCTCGATTGAAAACACCGACCTGTTTCACATTTGTGTCGGGCCACGCCGCGTAAGGAAGCCCTCGCTGCTTCTTAATTAATGCAGATCCCCGGGGCATAATCAATAGAACGACAGCCTCTGTAAATTTCGTGCGATTTATGTGGGAAGAAAGCGAAGAAGGTAACGATAAAAAGAGAGAAAAACGGAAAAGCTCCGTATTACAAGTGGAGAGAAGAGGGAAGGTATACCGGGGGGTAGAAATTGGACTCGAGATAAAAATTTTTAATTAAATTTATATATTTCCAGAAATACCTTGATTCGTATTTCGTTACTAAGAAAATGTTGTTGTAAAAATTCGAATGGCGAGGGAAAGGTAAAATTATTATGAAAATTCGATACAATGGCGGAGGGTTGTTACAATTGCACCACTTAAGCTTCCCTTGTTTATTATACATTTCATATTAACAATTAAAGCTTAATATTCGGTGTTGTGTAAGTCTTCTTGTAACAATTAATTTCCGAGCGTAGTCGTCGTTAATTAAAGCGTTTCGATGAAGATAAATAATTGCGTATAATTATTTGTACTTTATTAAAAATTTCTCGCTTTACCACAGACTAATGAAGTATATATTTGCACGCGCGTGCGCAAGTGTCCGTATCGTTTCGTTTCGATCGCGAGTTTTACATTCTGCTGAGTCCACCGTGAGTGTCACGGCAAATTTTATTGGCCGAGCTCGTTTAAACCGAATTAACGCGATGGCGTAATTCGCCGAGCGGCTCGCGAAACAGTCGAATTTAAATTTCTCGATGGGTTTAATTTTACGCGGCCGGGCCTTTGTAAATAGACGTGGGGCAAGTTTATTGACAGGGGTTGGAGGAAACGAAAGAGGTGTTCAAACAACACCTTTGTCCTCGAGAGAAATGTTTTCCATGGATTATGCAGCTTTTCGAAGATACGTTTGTCCGAGCACGAAACTTTCGGCATTAAAATATGATTAAATAATTAAACGTAATTTAATATCCGACTGGTGAAGCCCTTGCTTTAAATTCGATTATAAATTGGAATTTAAAACGTTCGTGTTTGATAAAACATCGTGGTGTTAAATTATCGGGGACAGGTATAAAGCTTGGTTGTAATAGATACTTTGGAAAATATATCGAACTTGCTGTCTTTTGTTCATGCGTGAATATAAAATAAATTATTGTATACAGAAAAAGAATGAAAAAGGTAGTATAAAGTATGGAAAATAAAATTCAATTAATATATGGAACCAGTATTATCGAAATAATTATTTGTATAATAATAATTAAATTATTATTTATTAAAACAATCTAGGAGTTTTGTTAAAAAGGAAATCGTATTGACAAATATTTGATCGACGTACTCGTATACTTGTACCTAGCATTCCCCTTAATTTCTCGATAGGAGAGATTTGTTTCAAAAAATAAAAAGAAATATCTACGAGACTTAACGAATAAAAAGGTTCATCTCGTGTTCCCCCATAAAACTACCCCCTTTCCAAATTAACCAATACATACTTTATAAGCCAAGAACCACTGCAGAGGTAACCAAAATTACCCCATAAACGCGTATTCCGCGGCGGAAAATTTAAATAGCCACATAAACGCCAGAAATATAGCA